GGGATCGAGATATCTCGAGGAACCGCGTGTGCCGCACCACACGGTTGGTTTGTCGCGTAGACGAGCACGATCGCGCGATCTTGAAACAGTCGGAGCACACGTTACGTCCGGCGTTGCATGTAAAAACCAAAATACACGATGCCAGGGAATGACACGGGAAATGCTAGCCGATTCCGGAACCCGGGACGACGTTTGGGGGGGGAGAAAAAAAATCTCAGTTCTAAATCTCTGTTTCTCGTTCTCTTTCTCTCTCTCGAATTTTTGTTCTACACCACAGCGGGCAAGCCGGCTCACCAAACTCCACACACCATCGACGAACAGCACACTCCGTGTGTAGTCGATAATGCTGTTTACCAAAGCGGCGTTTGTTCCCAGCCAGGCTAGGTTAGGTTCACGCGCAATTGAAGTGAAAAACAAAATAAAAGGACCTCTTTCTCTCTCTCTCTCTCTCTCTCTCTCTCACACACACACTCACTCTTTCTTTCGCTACGTGGGTATATATACGTGTACGGTATATAGAGATATGGTTGTGCGCGCGGGTTTTATATACAAGAGAATGAGTGTTTAAGAACCTGTTTCCCATACACTACGCGTGGCATCGACGAACCGTCGGAGCCGAGCCTCGAAAACACCGGGAATCTCGAAGGGATGCACTTTGGCCCGTCACCCGTCTGACGACGACACAACGTGTTTTTGCCTGACGCACCGCGCGAGACTCGTGAAACATTCGCAGCACGATGCGTGCACGCCGTGCTCGAGGACACTACCGTGCATCGCCGCCGGCTAGCAGGAGGCGTTGACGGCAATGGTAGTGGTGGCAGCGGTGGTAGTGGTGTTGCTGGTGGTGGTGGCGGTTGCGACGACGGTGGTGGTGGTGGTGGTGGTGGTGGTGGTGGTGGTGGTGGTGGTGCCGATGATGATGGTGGTAGAAGTAAAGGTGGTGGTGGTGGTGGTGGCGATGGTTGTAGTGGTGGTGGTGGTGGTAGTGATGGTGGTGGTGGTGGTGGTGGTGAGATTGTGGTAGAGGTGGTGCCGATGGTGATGGCGGTGGTGATGATCGGCGGACTTAGCAAAAAGGCCAGGACGACGGAAACGTGTCGCGGGTGTCAACTTCCGCATGGTTGTTCACAGGGAAGAAGGGGATCTGTGCATCGGGACACAGTTTGCTTTCATTGAACCGTGTCGTTGTACGTATATACTTGGCGCGTTCTCTCTCGGTGGCATGCACGTTCGGTCGGAGCATCCTCAATGTCAACAATAACACATAACGTACGCAATGTCACGACAACGACGACACGACGACGCAACGACGCAAGTCGACCAGCAGGAGGGACGAAGAAACTAAACACGATCGGAGCGCGTCGTTTCTATCGAAACGGGTTGGTATCGGGTCGTATCGATAGATCGACGGAAACGTGTAACTCAGCTCGCGTACTTACCCTTCTCCTTCTCCTTCTCCTCGGTTTCTTCGGTTGGACGAGTTGTTTCTCTCTTCGTCGCTCGGCCGGCACGCGCTCCAGCTCTGTCTTCCGCGCGACGCTTCTCTTCCTCCGGCGCTCGCTCGCTCTCTTTCTCGTATTCTCTCTCTCTCTCCGTTCTCCTGCTGGTCGACTGGCAGCAGCAGCAGCAGCCGCTGCGCGAGCAAGGGAGAAAGGAGAGAAGCAGAAAGAGAGGGAGGGAGAGAGGGACAGAGGAGAGAAGGAAAGATAGAGAGGGAGAGCCGAACGAAAGCGAGAGTGATCCTCCGCGCTCTCTCTCTCGCGCTGCACACTCCACCCGTCCGGTCGCCCTGTCGCCGTCGTTGTCGCTGCCGTTGCCGTCGCCGTTGCCGTTGTCGCTGTCGCTGTCACTGTCGCTGTCGTACTAGTCGTAGTCGCGGCGGACCCACTGCTACTGCCACTATCGTTGCCGTTCTTCTGTCCTGGCGACGTTCATTCTAAAATTCTCTTCGATCGGCCGCTGCTACATCCACCTCCAGAAGGCTCCAGAAACCGAAAAAACGGTCTCATCCACCGATCACCGATAATATCGACACGACACGACACCAGACGATGGAACTCTGGTCGCGGGAACCGTTTGACACACACTGTCTCTGCCGTTCTCGTTCTTCCTGCTAACCGTGTCCCTATCCTGGCCCCTTCGACTCGTTTTCACCACGAGCTCTACGTTCTTTCTCTCCACTGTTTCTCCACCGTTTCGTATACATATACCGTACACGCATACGTACGCTCGTCGATCACTTTGTTGTTCCTTTCTTTTATCGACAACACACTAAACGATTTTGGTACGACGAACCACGAGCGGGACATGCACGTGTTCCTACGTACACCCGTTCAAAGAGCAACCGTGTACGCTCGTTTGATAATAACAACAGCAACACCGTTCTTTTTTCATGCTTGTTCCACACCAGTCACACGAATCGTCGCGCGTCGATCGAGAAATCACCTACAGCCGGCGTCGTCTTTTAATATTCCTGCTCCGAACTCACGCACGCTCGCGTACGCGCACACAGCCATGCATGCACACCGCGCGTCTTCCTCCCTTTTCCCACTCTTTCTCTCTCTCTCTCTCTCTCTCTCTCTATTGACTCACTCTAGCTCACTCGCTTGCGCTTTCTTTCGCTTCCCCTCGCTCTCTCTCTCTCTCACTCTTTCTCTCTTTCTCGTTCGTACAACACACGTTCACGTTCGGAGCTTCGTGCACTACGTGCGCACTCCGTGGTATCCTGGACGAATAGCACCGAAGAGAAATACGCAACACATATACTATTTACGAGGCGAAACGTCAGCCGGCTTCTCTCGGACGACGCATCAAAACACTGTACCTTTGGTTCGACGGACTGCCCCGTGGTGAGTGTGCTCGCCGCGCGGTGACTGTATGCTCCAAGAGTATTCTTTGTCCGTACGGAGTCGCAGCTGCCCGCGTTTCGGCCGTCGGTCGCTATTCGGCCCTGTTCGGCAATTCTCGGGTGTCATCCCGTTCGTCATGGCGGGAACTCAGGATATACCCAGGACCAGCGATGGAAAGGGAAAGGGAAAAGGGAAAGGGGGAGCCGAGCGTACGTTCGTGGCACGTCTCTTATTCTCTCCCTCTCGCGTTCTCCGCGCCGCTCGCGCTGCCGTGTACACGAGAAAAAGCGAACGAGACGGCGACGGCGAGAGGAAGAAGAGGACCGACCGACGGAGAGAGAGACGAGAGAGCGAGTTAGTTGACCGAGTACGAGACGAAGTACGAAAGATTTCGATGCGTTCGTGGAGTGGTGGGGTAGGCGATCGTCAGGAGGGGCGGGGAGATTGGAGCGCACGCAGGCGCGATACGCCCGGGCTGCAACCCCTCGTGCGATGCCTAAGCAACAAGGGGATGCTGCGAACCTGCTTCGACCGAAAGCTAAGCTTTCGCCTTCTTCCACTTCCTTCTTTTTCCACCGCGCACTCCTAGTTACATTCTTCGCTACCCTCCGGATTGCTTGCAATTAACCAACGATTTTCTACCATCGTCGGGGAAGATCCAGCGAAAATTTCTCCCCGTTCTTTGCGTGGAAACGTTTCCTTCCAAACTTCCATCCAACGCGAGAGAGAAAGACGAGTTATTTAGATCGACGAGAGCTGATTTTCTCTCAAAATGATTAATTTAAAAAAAAAAAGATCGACCTTAGTCGTAGTAGAAGGTTCAGCTCCGTTTACTCAAACTCGGAGTGTTGTTAACTCGTTCAGAGGGCAACGGCATAGTGTCCGTTGCTTGCGCAGCAGGTCACAGGGAGTATGGTCGCGCGAAGGGTTAATCGTTGGGTTCGGTAACCCAAATTTCGGAACGAACACCCAGCCACAAAGCGGACGAAGAGGACACTGGGCGTTTGCCGCGTGTCGCACGCGCGACACCTTCTTTATTTCTGTGATTTCGAGTCGAATGCCCCGAGGGAAAGGGTTGTAACTTGGCCGTACGACCGAAAAGTCGTTGATACCGAGTCGGAGAGGCTCGTCGAAATAAATCGTTAGCGACTGCCAGGGGAGAAAGAACAGAGGAAGAACGTCGTACACCGCCGCTGGGATTGATCGTAGCAAGTTCCGGGACAGCGAGGCCACGTTTTACGAGCTGCTTTTTACGAGTCTCGGAAAAGAAATTCGGTTACCTCACAAATTGAAGTCTAATTCCGTGAGAAGTGTGTCGATCACGAAGTTTCTCCTCCCGATACAATGGGGGGGGGGGATATATATATATATATATATATATATATTTGCAAATTCGAAACATCTTCTCTTCTTTCTTTTTTAATTCTGTTGGAATTCTTGGACTGGACGAGCGTGTTAAGTGATTCATGAGGGTATTCGCTGTCCGTTATGATGCAGTTAGATGTTTATCCAAGGTGTTGGCACGGTATAGGCTGCATACATACGGGCTGACTTTTTTTTTTTTTTTTTTAACAAATATTCCCGTGACTCGAGTCGGGTGCGGGTACATTGAAGAATTTTTAAACGCGTTAGTTGAGAGAGACCGTCGTTCGATTCGAACGTACAATCCGTGTTGGTTAATCGCGATTCTCTTTACGAACTTTTTGTGACGAAAACGCTATCGAACTTTTCAACGAGATATTTAGGAGTCGGTCGAGCGTTTTTGTCTGTACGTTTCGTTTTAGTTTGCCATACTTCCATGAAAATTCTATTTATACCGTGTGTTTGAACGAGCACACTGTACCGGAAAAGGGTCTACATTGCGTCGGAGGTTGTTTTTTTTTTCCAATATACAAATTCACCCGACGGGGTCCGCTACGACCGAGCTTCCTGATGGATACTGTCACTCTAAACGGAAGGAATCCTCGAACACGCGCGTTTTCATAAAAATCCTATCAATCGATCCTGCAGAGAAATTTCATAAATCTCGTATTTCGTAAATCCTCCACGATATTGAAATCCATTTTTCTTCTCTTCTCTCTCTTTTTTTCTTACTCTCAATCGTCTTTCGTCAGACGCGACCATGTAATTACCTACGATACGTCTAATTACCTGGAGAGATCTTCCAGTTGAGACATCCGTCGAAACTCGAAATGGTTGAATTTTGTCGATCACGTGGACCAGCTTCCCTCGAAGGCCACGAGAGAAGACAAAGACAGTCGTTAGTCCTTTAACGTTGAACATTCCCAATGGAAGGTTATTCCTAACGATTTTCCCATGCGAGAATGTCTTTCGTGGTAAATGATGGCACGCATTTAATCGAGAGCACTTCAGGCACAAGACGCCACAATGTCTGTTCAAAGTGAATGAATGACGCTGGCACGCCGCGCGATTAACATAATAATGCTCGGCGTATGCAGATATAAATTAATGCGTATTCTTCTTGAAAGGGTCGACGACACGATGGCTTGTACGAGCTGACAGGAGATGCATCCTTCTGCCGGGTCCCGCGAGAATCTTCCGTTTTCTCAGGCAGCGCGTCAACGTTAACGCGCCAGCGTTGCGGCGCCTGCAAATGAGAACTTGCGTTATTACAATACGTCGCACGCGTCGAGTTTTTATAATTTTTTCATTGCAAATTTCGGCACGGCGACATTGAACTCTGCGCTCTCGATGAAATTTGAAACAAAATCTCAAAAAGAAAAGAGAGAGAGAGAGAGAGAGAGAGAGAGAGAGAGAGAGAGAAAGGGAGAACGATATTGTTAAAGCTATCTGCTTGATCTCGCGGCGAACGTACGTTTGTTAAATTTTATGACAGGGCGTCGAACTTCTATATATACGCGACACGGCCTCCACAAAGAAAGCATAATTTCTTTCCCAGTTATTTATGCAACCATAGAAAAAACGGTGGTGAATCGAGCCGATCGAGCGGAGATACTCGATCGACGATATCACGGTAAAAGAAACCGAACGGGACCACAAAAAGAAAAAAGAAAAAAGAAAAAAAGAAAAAGGCGAAACAAGACACGGAAGAGGCATGTGACGAACGGCGTATATTTCATCGAAGTGTGCGCGGAGGTTTCGGCAATGGCACCCGGGAATCATGGACTTCGGGCTCGGCTACGAAATTCGCTGGAACAGATGCGACTTCGGGCTCGATACAATGATGTCGAAATAAATCAGTTTATCGAAACCAGGTAGGTGGGAACGTTCGGCTGTATCTACAGTGGTCTACGAGGCATTGTGTGTTGCACCCGATCAGTGACTCTCAATCGTCGCGAGTGAATCGGAATCGAGCGAGGAGGAAATAAACGACAGAAAAGGGGGATGGAACTTTTAACGCACGATAAATGCACGGCTCATCTTAAAAGCGTCCCCTTTCTACGAGAGGAGGGGGGAGGGGAAGGGGAGAGGGGAGAGGAAAAGAAAAGAGCTTCTGTCTCTTCGATAGCGTGCTTTACGATCAAGAAGCTCCGCTCCAAAGAAACGGTATTCGTTTTTGTTTCCTGCGAGTGCTACTTTACGTGGAAAACCTCGGGGGTAAATGTTTCCTCTCCGCTCGGAGCAAGCTGATAATCGGACTCGCGGATTTTTTTCCTTTGAAGCTCAAAGACAGCCCCCTTGCGATATTTGAAGTTATTCGTTCGGTGGCTGTTTTGCCAGGAGGTGACAGGCAAATTGATACGTGTTTCGAACGCGACGTACGCAGAGAGAAACCCTGATGCCGAGACTCACTCTCTCGAACGTCTACCTGACATTTAGCTTCGGCTAGTCGGATATTCGCCGTATGACGAAATCCGACGGTCTGATCTTATCTGTCCCCCGGATTCTTTCCAATATCGATCCGAACGGGTCGTGAAGTAGCAGCTGCCGAGCTCGTCGCAAACTTCATTAAGATCGAGTATCATTTAATAAGTTAGAAAACGGCACAATAACCGGACCACGACGCGCAGTCCGGTTCCGTATCTCGATAACCAATATGATATCAATTTTATCAAAGATATATATAGTACATCTACGAGCAATCCAATACGAAAATTTCGTCTCAAAATCTTCTTCCGCGCTTCTATAACGGTTCGCCAGACTGTCTGCGTCAAAGTTCCTTGCAAGCACGATGTAACAGATGCCTATAAAAACACGTGTGTATTTCGATCGAAAATTATCCACAGAACGTGAATTTTAGACATCTCTTAAATGTTGACGCGTCACGGCAATCAAAGCAATCCGCGTTCAAACTATCTTCTTTAGTGAAACAGAGCTCGATTCTCCGCGAAATATACGATAGCTTTTAGATCGATGTTTGACATTTACGAGCAAATTTTCAAGCTTTTCCTGTGGAAAAAAATCTCGTCGGTTTTTAATTTGCTATAACCGAGACTGCTCGTTTCGGTCATAGACCCGCGTACCATGTGCACGATCGAATATAGTAGCGAAAGCAGCTGCAGGATTGTGACACGCGTCTATTGTCGGTGTTCCGTGGCATCGAGACATGAAAAATCGCCTCCCCACTCTGGGTGTCCTTGCCCTTTTCGGCTGACCCAGTCGAGCTCTCGTAGCGTTGGGGATGTTCACCTGGACCACAACGTAGAGAGACGCTTTTTGGGAAAATCGACGACGATTGCCAGGGGTAAAAGTGGAAACTTTTCTTATATTGTATTTCGTACATCCTGCCTGCGTCATCGTCTCTCGTGTGAACCGGTCTCGAATTCCCTGCCGATTTGTATTTCGTTTACGCAATCGTAGTGGATGCTGGCGTCTATCAATGATATCGCGTGCTTTCACGTTGCTAATGGTATCGTTCGATTTTACGTTTACTACAATATGTGTTACACGATATCTTGCGATTCACAAAGGGGCGCGTTCAGTCGTTCTTTAGTCCAAACCAAAAATTTTTTCCAAAAAAAAAAAAAAAAAAAGGAAACTTCTCTCGATCTCCCGTTATTCGAATCCATCTGTAGAAATAAATTGACCGCATCGCTGCAAGCATAACGGGAAGCAAGGGTATCAATCCGAACGAACAAACTAGTCGGGACTACGGCGGGCTGCTGCAGCTATGAAACAGGAACCGTGAAAGTGTGACAAGAGTTCGGTAACCGCGAGACGGTCCGCGCTCGTTTCACCTAACCCTCGGTTTGATTTTTCACCGCAAAGGGTGGTCAACGGCTCGCTGCTGGAAGAAAAGAGCATTTAACCCCTTTCCGATAGGGCACCGTGGCAATTCAGAGAAAGAGAGAGAGAGAGAGAGAGAGAGAGAGAGAGGCAAGCTACTTGAGTGAAGAGGGCACGCGCTAGCTATCCGGGTGCCGACGGGACCCCCGTTTCGGGCGGTACACCTAAAGCTAACCCCTGCACCCTCGCATTCGACAACGGGCACTCCGTCGACGAATTCACTGACTTTTCACCGGTCACGACACCCTCTTTCTTCACCCCTTGGCGCAAGGTGCCTGCACTCGATGTCGTTCCGACGGATTAACGAAGAATGTTGCAATTGTGCACGCTCGATTAACCTGCGGGTTCGGTTCGCAACGATGGAAGATCGGCCGAGTGAATATTCAAATTAATGAATTCCCCTGCGGGGGTAACCCCAGCATTGGATGTCTGTCCCATGGTGGTTTCGATTTTTTTTCCGAAGTCAAAAATTAGCGGACGGATTTTCTTGCGAAAATTCACGACAAGATGCGAGAAACGATCGTATGGGAAGAAACAACTCCGAGGAGATGTAGTAAACTCACAGTAACGACTGTGACTCTCGACTCCCAACTACCAAAAAAGCTCTTGTTCTTTTCTCACGAATGACGCGCCGTCATTCGTACACACCGGAGATGTACGCACAAAGAACCGCTCGAATCTGGCGTCGTCGCATTTCAGGTTACAATTAATGCCACCGGTCTGTAGTATCAGGATCAATATTTTCTCATACTTAGGCCGGCTCATCGTTCAACTGGGAACATCTGCCGTGCTCGTAGCCTACGGGGGCACATGCAGCACCCCGTCCGGTCGCGAGCTACACGAACAACTTCTCCGCATTGTTCCATCTTCGATTGATCTGTCCGTCTTTGCTTCCACACCTTCGTCTATCGACTTATCGCTCTTTATCCGCCTGAATGTCCAACAATGAAAAGAAAAAGAGAGAAAACGAGAAACGAATCGGAACGAGTTGGAGAGATGTAAACTACGCTCGTGTTGGCCCGGGTTGCTATACTCGATTTGCATGATCCTCTTTTGTACGTACACTGGTGGTAATCAGACCGTTTTATACGAATCTCATTTGTACGAGTGAAATTCTAGTTAGCGTTCAGCTAGATTAAGCGAACAGCTACGAAACGAAAATTCCAGATCGCGTGTCTATAGTTTTTTCGAAAGGCAAACAGCGTACGAGCGATGCCCTCTCATCCCCCTTCTTTCCCACGAACGAACTGCAACCTAGAAAAATTTCCAGCCATAAATTTCAATGAAACCTACATTCACCTGAAAGCGATTTCAAGCGGACGTAAATAATCACGATCAATTTAGAACGTGATTGTTTCACCGTGGCGAGAGAAGAATGGCTCGTCAGTGACAGTTTTGTCCGCGTTTCACACACCGCTGCTGCGGGCAGGTATCCCCTAAAATTAGCCGTCTAGAAGGCCGAGGTCGATCATTCTCTCTTTTCTTTTTTTCTCTTTTCTTTCCTAAAGTCCCCAGTGTGTCAACAGCTGTTCCAAATTTTCCCTCTTCCGTTGCCTTTTTGTCTAACTGTTTGATTTTTCCCGCCCGAAACGTCGCCCCCCACTCACGCGCCGATCGGGCACGCGTCCGATCCTGCAAAAACTGACCGACACAGACGAGATAATCCCCCGAAGGAACCTGGGATCATCGACCTTCCGGGCTTCGTGAGCCTCCTTTTCCTTTTTCCTTCCTCTCTCCTATCCGTTATACGGGGTGGAAACTAAGTTTCCTATTCGAGAAGAGAACGTGACATCTGGAGACTGTGCGTTTGGCCATTGGATCGTTCTGGATCGTTGGATCTGCGTTGGACGCGACGTGTCTTGTTTCGATAGGAGAGAGCGCAGATGCGAGGAGGAAGTTGTCGATGTGTGTTGAATTATTGGCTGGGAGAAAAACGTTGCTATTTGGATATCGGTTTTTCCAACGCGTTTCCTCTGTGTGTTCAGCCAGACGATAATCGCGGTTAATTGCCGATGCGACTGACGTATCGGTCGTCTTTTACGCGCGATGAATCGTCTTTCGATCTCAGGGAATTTCACAACGCGAGTAAAAATAAAAATGGAAATTGTTTGGTGTTTGATGTCGCGTGTGCGTGATTCTTCGGGCTGATTCGATTCCGCGAAATTCACGGGCTGGATGACTGAACGATACACGGTGGCCCAGTAAATCCTGCATGGGGTTGAAATCGACACAAGACTTTCCACCTCTGTTCACTCCCCTATCCCGTTCCCCCGTGAAATATAGATATTAACCTTTTGCGGTTCGATGAGCGTTTCCCTTTCCA